TATATATATACACACATATATATACATACGCAGAGTTCCTAATATCTATCAAAGCTCAGAATACAATTTGTATGCACAATTGACCAACCTCAAGCATCTCTTCTTACTACTGATGTGTTCTAAGTCTGCTAAGTACATGCTTACTATGCAAAACTTGGTTCTGGGAGAGCCACAGGTAATTAAAGGAATTACCTGCTTGGAAATGAACTCTCTTTAGTTGTTCCTTGGAAAGAGAAAGATGTATTACTGGTAAGTGATATTATTTGCAACTGTTTCTGATTTTCGGTGTTAACGGGTCTTTCGCTCTCGTCTCCTTGCCTACTTGACTATTTCCAAAACAGTGTTTCATTACTGCTTTTTAAATTGTGTCGGGACTTTCTGTGCTCACTTTACAGTGTATAGGTTGCTATGTGGTATTGTTAGTTTTACTGAGAGGAAGTAGCCCTTGAAGCATTATTCCTTACTATAATGAGTCAGCCAGAAACTATTGAGTGTCATCAGATTTATCAGAATGTAATGTCAGAATTTCAGAAAGGAGATATTTATTTATTTATTTATTTATTTTGAAGTGTGATGATTGGGATCTTAAACATTTTCTGTAGTTTCTAAATAAGATTTATGTAAATCTGTCCAGATTGCTGTTGTGATTTATCCAGGTGTGGTGGGGTTTTTTTTTGTTTTCTTTTTTTGATAATATAGGATAAACTAGGATTAATTCAGCTGGTCCCATTCAGTTGCTTGTTTAACCCTCCAGATGTCTTTGTGAGCATTGAGAAGATCTTAGTTTTAGATTTGTAAGTTCTTCCTCTTGTTAGAACCTCTTTGGTGTTGAGGGATTCATGTCTTGCCCTTTTCCCTCCCTCCAACCCCCCATTCCAATCTGGACTCTGAATTATTCCGTTTTGATAAACTTTTCTGGGGGTATAGTTCTGTTTTGCAGTTATTCAAAGTTATTGAAAAGTTGCTGTACTCAATGCTTTTCTGCAGAGGAATTGCTTTTTAGCCTTTTAGAACTTTCTTTATTGCTGGTATGTAGTAAATATAACTCCCAAGTAGACAAAAGTGCATTTTTTCACTGCAGTACAATGAAAAGATGGTATTCTCTGCCTTACCCTCCCCCCATTTCATAAAATATTTTAGTCAGCTGTTCCTTTCCTCTCATTTTTGTTTAGTGAATAACGATATGTGATAAAGATAGCAAAATTAGTGACAGTTTACGTAACACACTCTGTATCTCTGAGATCTTCTTTCTTTGAAATCTGAATTGAATTGAGCCAGGAATAAATGCATAAATTAAAATCTGTCTGAAAGCAAGTTCTAGATCATGAGTTAGGCTGAAAATAGCAGTTGTCAGACATAAAGAAGCTTTCTCACAGCCCACTCATCTGCAAGAGAGTTTCCTTTTTCCAGTCTCACAAGCAGTTAACATTTTAGGTCCTGTGTAATATTCAGGTAATTTTTTTCTTTTGGTGTTTAGGATTTGAAGGATGAGAAGAAAAAGGCTAGAATGGCAGCGTCTAGGGCTGTTCTTGAGAAGTGCACCATGATGCTCTTAACTGCTTCAAAGGTGAGTGAGTGTGTGTGCTCTCACGTGGCTTTGGTAAATCACGGAATATGGCTTATGGCAGGATAGCTGCCTTCTTTCTCAGCCCCACTTTAAACTTCATCCTAAAGAACAGTATGATAGTAAGAAATGAGTAGAGGAAAATCTTTATGTGCTGAGCAATGGTATGAATTGTACCTAACACAATAGCGGTTTAACCGAAAGGTTTGATATTCTAACACATTCTTTAGACTTGCCTTAGCAGGAGGCATTCATTTCTCTATACTGCATGTGTACTCTTTTGTGATACGTGCTCTGCTTTCCTTAAAAAGACTTGTCTGAGGCATCCAGACTGTGAATCTGCTCGTATAAACAAAGATGGAGTTTTTCATCGAATGAGATTAGCTTTGGAACAAGTAATAGAAATTGTAACTGACTCTAGACCAAACGGAGAAAATGAAATGCCCCCCATCAGCATATATTCTGGCATAAAAGAATTCAAGGTAAGAGTAGAAATAATATTATTGTCTGCACCCTAATAAATCACCTCAAAACTAGTATTTTGTATTAAAAAAAAATTTAAATTCTAAATGGTCAAGATGCATCCTTTCAGCAGTGTTAACTTAAATAACTGTCCCAAAAAAGAATCTGATGAGGTGATTATAATTTCATTGTCATTGCCAAAATACACCTTCTGATACTCTAATGTTTTGTTGAGGTGATGCCTTGACATGGAATAAACTTAAGTATCAGGATACTGTTCAGGACTTCGTTAAAATAGTTGTTGAAGAATTGAATTGAAATTGTATCCTGTAGTTCAGTTGATTTTTTCTGATAAAGGCTTTTCTAAATTTCATACTTGGTAAAGAACAGGAGCAACCACGCCTTACTTCTTTGGAGTTTTATCACATCAATTTCATTACTTTCATTTTTCCCCCCCTTTAGAATTTGGTTGAAATTTTTGTAAAGTTCCTCAAAGTATTCAATTTGCTACATGTAAATTTTTAGAAAAATAATATATGGTAATGGATGTGGAAAGATGGAACAAAATCTGAATAAACTATTAATTTCTGAAACTTGCTGAACTTAAAAACTTTTTACTGACAGCAGTAGAACAGCAGTGTATTTGCTGTTACTTTTGGTAAGTGGCCAGTAATGTGTTGACGGTATTATTACATTTAAAAAAAAAAATATTCCAAACTCTAAACTGGAGGTTTGGATACAAGCAAATTGTTATATTACTTTGAAAGTAAGTGAATAATTTTAAAAAAAAACAATCTCAAGGAACTGGTATTCTTCTTTTTCAGAATAAAGTGGAGGGTCTTCGTGAGAATCTTTATTTTCTCTCAAAAGAGAACCTTTCGACAATGTTGGAAGTCATCCTGGAACATACAGAGGACTTCACAGACTCTGCCTATACCAGTCATGAGCACAGAGAACACATTTTGGAGCTGTCTAAACAGGCTAAAATGGAACTAGAGCAGCTGGTTTCAGTGTGGATGCAAGCTGTAAGAGCTTTTTAGCAAAGTAAATCTTTTCACCTCTACTTTGGAAAGAAATTTTTAATGCAGCATTTCTGCTGGTCTAGAAAGAGGGATCTGTGTGTATTCCTCACAGTGAGAATTGATCAAGGAAGCCAGAGTTTGTTCTGTGCTTCTGCAGCTTCAGTATGTTCTGTCTTCCCCCTGCCCCAGTGGTATTGCTTCATTGATTCTTTGATGGCTAAATTAGGCTACTAGTCATGATAGGCTGGCTTTAATGAAACTGTAAGTGGAGACAGGAAGGTGAATAGAAGTATCTTTGCAGTCTTACACAGTTAGGTCTTTCAGTTGAGTAGTTCAGAGACTTTTAATTGTCTTGATCCCATGGCAGTGACCACAGTTTCTGCATATTGTTTTCAACAGGTTTGGAAATACTTCAACTGTTGAAAAGACAAGTATTCTAAAAGACAGAACAGACTGTTTTTTTTTGTGGAGAAAGAGGAGAGAGACACTGAGCCTTACAGGCAATTTTCATTTCTCTTTTTTACAAGATTTATATGATAGGAGTTTCCCTTTTTAGAGAAGAAGCGTGTTAAGCCTCCTTCTGTCATTTGTCTTAGTGTGTTCATTGAAGATGATAGAAGGTACATGCAAAAGAGGGAGGAAAAGCAGAACTGGAAAATGTAGTATTTGGTTTTGATGCTGACTTGCAGTCTTATTCCTTGGGAAATGTATAGCACAAAATCTTATCAAAGCTCTGAAATATGGCAGATGTGTACTAACATAGGATATTTAGTTAACTGAGTGCATCACTGATGAGAAAGAGTTTTTGTTCCTTTTCTCCTCTGAATCAGATGCTGCAGTCAGGTGTTTTTAAAGCAGTAGCGCAGCTTGAAGAGCATATGAATCTTGTTGATAATCCGGGCTGTTGCTATTACAAAGAAGATACATATAGAATATTAATTGCATAGAATCCCATAACTGTAAGAAACTAAAATCATGTTTAGCTTGGTGTTGGTGGTTAGCCCTGGTAGACAGCTGTGTAAGCACTGCTCGGCCATAGCTAACACATCCCCATGTTATCAAGACTGTTTTTATCACAAGTCCAGAACAGCACCGTACCAGATACTATGAAGAAAATTAATTCTGTCTGAGCAAAAACCAGCACATTTGGATATTTCTCAGCTCTGTTACTGGTGGAAAACGATCACCTATAAATAATTTACATGCTACACTTCAAGTAATAGAATTGAGAGCCTAGTACAAGACTACGCATATATATGATCCATGAAAGTACTTGGGAGTGCACATGTGTGCTTATGCATTAAGTATTTTCATTAATAAATAACCCAGCTTAGCTCTGTCTAGTAAGCAGATACTGTGACACAGTAAGTAGATAAAATGTCGTCAGCTCACTGAGGTGGTTTCAGCTCCACAGCTTCATCGAAGTGTAAATATTTTCAGAGGGACTTAGCGTAATTCAAGTGGGATTGTTGTTTTTTTTTTTAAAATATAAATAAATGTTATGCTTTGGGTTTGTATGAACTGGGGGATATGTAGAGCTCTTAGAGTGCCCAATTATTTCCCTCTCCACTCACTATGCTTCCTTTTAGCAAGCAGAGTAATTGTGAGTCTTCAGTGAAGAGTATTTTAAAACGGAAGTGTCTTATAACCTAGGTCAAGGATAAATTAGACTGACGTCACTGATCTGCTTTTTGTATTGTTGTATGGTAAGGAAAACTAGCTGCAGCACAACAGATAATCTAATGCTGTTGGCTGAATAGTAAATGTTTCTGAAATCCTTCCTGTGTATGTTGGAGTTCATAAGATTGCAAGCTCTTGTCCTGCTTTAGGTAACCTTATTTTGGTTGGTGAAATCCTTCGCTTGTGTTTAAAAAAAAAGTTGCACATAGAAGGAGCAAAATTGAACACATTAAATAAATAAAAGAAATAGAAAGGACACTAGTGAGTGTAAAATATTATGCTTGTGTTAAAAGTGATTGGTGATGTTAACACTTTTACACAAGTTACTCAGAGGAAGGCATTAAGTTTGAGGGACAGGTAATTTTGAGACTTAGAATGGATAAGAATACCTGGGGAAATGATCGTATTGGCTTGGGTGGTTTTTTTTTCCTTCGAATAAGATTGAGGGTGAATAGGTCCTTACAAACACGCATTTTGTATGTGTATGTTTATGTTAATTTAGACTCTGAGGGCTTATTTTTTTGCGGCTATGGCAGTGTTAATATCCCACCTGGGATAATTGTTTCAAATATATTTTTGAGGAGAATGCAAATCACTGCTACTTAACACTTTTCCCAGTATATGTTTCTTGACATTTGGGTTGTTCCACAGTGGTGCTATTTGTGGAAGTAGGAGCTCTATCTTGAAGGTACCTCAACGAAGTGTTAACCATTTTGGTAATTGCATAGATCACAAAACCAAAGGTGGCTCAAATACGGTATTTGGAAGGAATCACCATCTTGTATTTTCTTGTAGGCCCATAGATGTAAATCTTGCCATGTGCTCATTTAAATTAGACAATGATCTGAAGTCTTACAGTAATCTTCTTGTAATTCAATATAGAACATTTGGTATAACAGTTTAGATACCACTTTATGTTAAAAGGGTGTTTGTGTTTTAAAAACTAATTTAAAAATTGCCTTAAACTGTTGCTCTACTTTAGGATGTTTTGAGAGAAGATTTCTGAAAGTTTGAAAGCTAAAAAAAAAAAGCTCAGTGAGGTTTAGAAATAAATTCATGTTGAACAGTAAATTATCTTGCATCACTATTATTTTTAGATTCGATTTGGTGATAAATTTTTCTGGAAAAGATTTTTTTTTTTAGAGTAGAATGTACGCAGGATGTGCAAATGAAAACATTTAATCTAGAAAGAAAAGGTTGGCTTCTAAAGAAACTTGAAGGACCAGCACATGATGTGAAGGTGGGATTTGGTGTGTGTTTTGTGTGATGTTTTGTCGGTTGCTTTCTTTGGCTTTTAGCAAAACCAGAAGACAAAGGATCTCGTGGAAGACTTGGAAGTAGCCATTTTAAAAACATGTCAGTGCATGAATGAACTTAAAAGAGAGGTAAGTCTCGTTTAAACAAGCATAAACTGAATAAAAGCTTGAATTTCTTACTTGCATGTTAAGATGTAAAAAAGGATTCTTTACCCAAAAGGCTAGTATTTACAGATGAGAGTAGCCAAATCAGAATTACACCAGGGAGCTAGTGTGCAGTCATTTTCTGTGTCCTTACTTAGAACTGATTAGAAATCTGTTGGATACGTTGGCTATTTGCTAATTCTGACAACAATTAAAAAAAAAAAAAAAAAGGAAAAGCATTTGGAAATAAGTACTATGTGTATAATCATTACTTTACATTTAAAAGCTAAGCTTTCCTTGGGGATGCATGCATCACTGTTTTAAATATTTTTTTCCTGTGTATGCTGAAATGGATTAATTACATTTGCTGTTTGTTTGTACTTAACCTGTTCCGCTTACTTCTGTAGCAGAAATGTGTTAGAACAGTGCCTTACACTCAGGTATTTTACTAGGCAGTTGGCAACTGTGTATTTGCCTGCTGTAAATCATTCTTTTCCTAAAAATGCAAGTGTGCTGGGTGTCAGTTTACAGTCACGTAGGAGATATCTGCCTCGTTTGGTGCATGGGATGGCCTGCACCTGCTAATCGGGGTCCCTCTCCCCTATTAATGGATAGCATCGCTGCCTTGTCTGTTCCACAGATATGAGCCAAATACAGAATTAATGGTTTCTTGCAGCTTCCAAAATATTTGCAAGGCATTCAGATATCTTCTCAACTGCGTTATATTATTGTTCCTTTAAACTGATGTAGAAATAAAGACCAAGGACAGTGAGGGTTTCAATACTAGGCTACAGAGCACTGCAAAGATACCAGAGAAGTATGGTGAATCTGCTTAGACTGAGCTGCTTAGACTCTGCCGCTCTAACTGGAAATCTTGACTCCTCAAAAAATCATGCTGCGTATTTTTTAACTGAGGCAAAATGAGAAATTTCATTTTATGGATTATAATTCCTGCAGCTTCCTGAAGATTAGAACACTGCTTTGAATCCATTTGATCCGCGGTTAAATGCTTTGCACTTCTGCTGCCAGGCAGTGTGTTGGGCTCCCAGCAAATGGAGCATACATAATTTGTGCACTTTATTAGTAGTTTTTATTTTGGACACCGTTGTGGAGGAAGTCAGTGGCAGAGCTTTTCTGGAGTGACGTCCAGCTGCTTTAAGATCATCGTTCTTGAGTAACATGGATTCCCAGTCAAAATAGCATGTGACTATGTAGTCACATGCATCACAAACCCAAAGGTGGCTGAAGTATTATAGTACATGGAATAAATTTCTGTGTCGTATTTTCTTGCAGGCCCATAAATGTAAATCTTACCATGTTTTCCTGCCCGGGTTTCTATGTATGAAAATGTCATACAACAATGACTACACATTTACCATGCTTAAAAATTACCTTCTGTAAACTGGTTAACAGAGGTGGCATAAAATACAGAATAGTGGGCTACCTGTGCCTTGTTAGGTAGTTCCATATTAAAAGCAATGTGGGTGAAAATGTAGCATTCTTCTTTAGAAATTTTTTGGAGCAAATTGAATGGGTGTAGATGATTAAATTAACAAATCCCAAGTTCTGTATGACTTGCTTTGGTGACCTGTAGAGTATGAAATCTTGCTTTTTTTATAATGCCTGGGATTCATGCTACTTGTAGGAGTAAACTTAAGAGCATTACATCATTTTCTTTGTTCTCTATGTAGTGATTGGATTGATCCCAGAGTAGCCATGCTTCTCTGTTACATGGCTGAGGAGGAGTGTCTTGCCAGGCCAACTCTGGGTGCTACAGTTTATCGGTCAGCAACTAGGATTTCTATTGGTGAACTTAAGTGTTGTGACGCTAATTAAAATGTTTTTAAGAGGCTGTATGGCTGAGAACACAAAACAGGCTTGGGAAAAGTAGTTCTTTCCCATCTCTGTCACTTTATGGAAGAAAATAAAGGCATGATCCTTCCTTGAGATAATTTAAAAAATGATCAGAGACAGCCTTAAGTAGAGGTAAATTCATTTTTAGATCAGGATGAAAAGAATTTCTAATGAAAAGGTAATCTCTATATAGCCTATATATAAAGGAGAATTGCCAGTTCCTATTCTAACATTACAAGCCTTGCAGATGCGCTTTCTTCAGTGCTGACTTAATTTCTGAGATTAGTGGTTTGTGCTAATTTTTAATGGCATGCAAACAACACTCCATAAATAGTTTATAATAGGTTATCATAGCTTTTTTTTTTCCCCCCCTTGAAAAAACAGTCACAGCAGGTTTTGAGGCAACAATTCAGGTTTCTTGCATCAAATAAACAAAGAAAACAGAACAAAATTAATTCTAGACTGCACCAAAACTACTGCCAGGTGAAGGAGGTAAAAACAGGTAGAGAGCAGTGGGATAAAAACCCCAGCATCTTGTTCTGTCAAGCGTTCTCGTCTCTGCAGAGACAAGGTGCAGCAGTGTCACAATGGTAAGCTCATTGCATTTGTAAGAACTTGGAAAACAGCTTTCTTCTTGAACAGTATTCAGTGCAGTCCAGGAAAGTGAATGTAATATTACGAGACTCATAATCGCCTTATAAGCACGTGATTGATCGTCTATTTCTAAAGAGGTTGCTGTTTTGTTTTTATCTGTGTTCTTAAAATGGGGCTGATTACAGGGCACAGATAAACTTGCTGTGACTAGTCACTAGAACTAGCACCAGTTGTTGATGATGGCTCTTGTCAAACACAGTCCTTCACTGCATGATTTCAGCAGTGATTTTCGGTCTGAAAGTGTATCTGGATTTAGGGGTGTGTTTTAAGGGGAAGCTTCTCCTTGCTTGTTGGAAGTACAGGGAGAGTGTTTGAGACTTCTCCAAGACCCATCTCTGGCTCCAGTCTCCTTGCAGAAAAGGTGCTCTTTACTTTTCTAAGGGTGTGTCACAAGCTGATTGTAATCAGCTTTTCTTTGCTTGCATTAATTAAATTTATTAATAGGAATTTAGTTTCTAATATATTACAAACTCATATGCTGTGTGGCTTCAGTCTGACTCACTGTTTAATGTGTATTCCTTATGAGGAGTGGCCATGGTGCCACACTTACGCTGAACTTGGTGTCCCACAGATTCATGCACCTGTTTCATTCCCAGCTGTAACATTATCAGACACCATCAGTGTGATAACTTCATGTCCTCATTTTACCCAGCTGTTCTTTTGTTTCTCTCTGTATTTGGTTGTGGGTTGGTTTTTCTTGGAGCAGAGTGGATTTTCTTTTTGTATTTTCAGTAGTAATTAAGGGATTAAAGGGCCAGATAATACACAGGATGTATGTGAGCTTTCATGGCACTAAATTTTTTGCTTCTTGGAAAAATCAATCTATCTCTTCAGTTTATTTGTATTGGTGCTGGATGATTTTTTTTTCCTCCAAAGGTTTATCTTTCCTTCTTTTAATACTACTCAAGGTTCATAGTGCAGCTACATCTTTGGCAGCAGATCTGCTAAAATACCATATGGATCATATGGTTCTCAAAGCATTAAAAATCACGGGAGTGGAAGGAAATCTTGAAGCTGTAGCAGAATATACTTGCAAGCTATCAGAGCAGAAAGAACAACTTGTTGAGGTGAGTTCACGGCTGCTTTCAATTTGTAAGGCACTCAAAAAGGAGTGGCTGGATTTGTATTAATCTTTTCTTTAAGAAGGCTTTGGTCTGTGCTTTTGTAATTTTTATTTCATTTTCTTTTCCTAGTATACTGTTGAATTTTGTATGGTTCTTGGTAGGGTCTGAGACAGGTGTCACTGTGGCATACAGTTGTAGGAAGAATGTACAATCGTACCCAGTTCTCCAGTTGGATTGAGACTCTCTCTCTATATATATTGGGCCTAAAATATTCACTAAAAATAAGTTTATAGATGTAAGTACAGATGATAGTCTTTTTCTTTCAAGCACTAGGTGTCCAGCAACAGCTGAATCCAAAGACACATTTTAAGAATGCTGGAAATACAAGGTTAAGCTTCTTAATGCCCCGAACTTGACTGTTTTGAAGGTCTTGTGTAGTTTTTATCAGTCAAGAGGGCCACTAAAAATCTTGTTGCCTTTGTGAAAAGCAGTGTGCATGTTTTGTATATTAGTACGTTCATGGTTTTGTATGGTACCATTCACAAGTGTGAACAAATAGGACTTTTGAGAGTACTGAGGAGTCATGGTTCTGAGGAGTGCCTGTGAAGAGGGTATCTGCCATGTGTACCTTGTTCCTTTCTCATCTGTCAGACAAGCAGAAGTAACTGCACCAGCAGGAGGCATAGAAAGATAATCGCTTCCATGTGGAACATGATGATGCCAGCAGCTATACTTGCATGGCATCTAATACTCATTAATTTTTAAAAAATTCTGAATTCATATTTGGCTTGAGGATTCATCCCAAAACTATGAATATGCTGCAGAAGCAACATTCTTGAACTTCTGGGACTGGCAAATCAATGTCTTGGATTTTTAATTTTGACTTTAATGTCCCCTTTCTCTATGACTAATTAGTGTACCAGTGAGACACTGATTTTTTTTTTTCTTTTTCCAAGCGTAACCATGAGGTTAAATAATGTTTGTATGTGAGGCTTCATAGTATTTCTGATGATGAACAATGGAGTTAGTTTCGTGTATGCTCTCTTTGTCTTAAAAGTTCTCCTTTTGATCTGAAAAATTCAGTGTTCCTTCTCAGCCCAAATCTCATTCTTAATTTTATTTAAAATTATTTTTTTTAAAAAAAGAATGACTACATTTCTTACTGTGAAAGGAAACAGTATTTCTTCCCTAAATTAATTTGTCAGCGATTTGCTTGAAGATAATTCAGTTCCCTGGATGACAAAAGCCTAAATTTACCACCTAGTTGCTAATGCTGAGTAAGCCTGTTTTAATGAAGTCATTAATGCTGCAATTTTTGAAAGTTCTATAGGTGTCTTGATTCCTTTTGAGTTTACTCAGTCATAAATATGTGAAATTGTTACTGTTTTATGTGTTTATTTTCTTCCTCTTGGTGATTTTTTTACACATTCCAAGTCAGGATTTATCTCTGTTTTTATTGAAAATGCTCCCCAAGGAACACCCACCTCTGTGGTCCCCAAGAAGTTTCTGAAAGGACTGTCAATAACTTTGTGTTTATTTGTGTGTGTGTGTTTGTGCATGTACACCTTTTATAACTGCTAATGAAAGCATATATTTTACCATTCTTTTCTCTTCAAATTTATAAAAATTATTTAGATGTGTCGCTTATTGAGGCATGTTTCTGGAACTGAGCCCCTTGAGATTACTTGCATTCATGCAGAAGATACGTTTCAGGTCACTGGGCCACAGGTATGCTTAGCTTTTATTTGGCCATTTCTACTGGACATAAATCAATAAAAATTACTTGTATGAATTTTTTGGAGATCTGATGTTGAACTGTTCAAAGCAGTTCTAAGAAGGAATTACACTTTAACATCAGGCAGTAGCTAAAGGAATGCACAAGAAAGATTGTCAGGCCTGCAAATGTCAGATGAATGCACTGCAAAGACAATAGTAGCAGTTTACTTTTGTATTTTGCCTGTGAAGGCATTTGTGAATTCACTTGCAATGCTATGTACTAGGACTTCCAATAGCAAATATTTTGTTCTCTGTCCAGATAATTTCTGCTGCAGAAACACTGGCATTACATCCATCTAGCAAGATTGCGAAAGAAAATCTTGAGGTGTTCTGTGAGGCCTGGGAGTCTCAACTGAGTGACATGTCTATGTTGTTACGAGAAATCAATGATGTATTTGAAGGAAGAAGAGGTAAGAATGCTATGTAGAAGTAAAAAATGTAGTTTTCAGAAGAGTTAGTTTAAGAATTTTAAGTGTGATTTAGGAAATACTGTTTTCTTAAGAGAAGGGCAAAATAAACAGTCCCATACTCCCTATGGCAATGTGGAATCTATTTGCCAATACACAGCTGTATTGTTTTTGTATAGATGTTCAATTAAGGTGCTCATTGGATTTTTTTCCAAAGAAAAACAGCCAAAAATTTAAAGGCATAGTATGTATAAAATTAAGTATGTTTAACTTCATGCACTGAGATTAGTTCCAGCAAAATCACATGGAACTGTTCAAAGACGACAAAAATATTTGACACAGCCCTTTTCCAGTGGTGTTCAAATACTAGGGGTATAGGGTTTGATCCTGCCTTTTGGTGTGTCTAGGACATATCAGTTCAACAGTTAAGATATAACTTGAATTGTGTGACTTTTTAAATTAATTTCCTGTATTTCTGGAAAAAATGTATGTACATATATATTCTATACTGTCAGCTTGCCTTGTATTCACTTCATAATGTAGTGAATGTAGTTATTTGATTTTTAAACTGCTGTCCTTTCTACTGGATGGAATCTCTGACGACTGCACAATCTTCGAATATTTTCTCTGGTTGGTAAGTTTATTGGTATTTGTACAACATGTAGAAGAAAACCTTGGAATATTAAGAAAAAAATTCTCTGTTTACTTTTAGCATAGGGTAATGTACCTTTAAAATGGAAGCCCTTTTGTTTTTCATCTTTGTCTAACGTGATTTTTTTTTCAGATGATGTTTTTAAGGTAGACTGTCATACTTCTTGCAGCTGTGTTTGTTTCCATATTTAAGGTATACTTGCATACAGATAGAATGTAATGTATAATAACAATGAATGTCTTGTATTTAAAGAAAATCACTCAGGTTTAAAAGTTTAGATTTAGTTAAATACAGAGACTTCATTTTTTTTGTATCTAGGATACAGAAAAAGTAAATCCTTATTCGGGTTACTTGACACTTTATCAGTGATACAATACTTCATGTTGCTATTAGCATAGTACCTTTTTCATTTTTGTCAATTTAACATCCTGTACTTGATTAGGGTTTTGTGTAAGCAGCTCTTTTCTGCCAAATCTGTCATGAGACCAGTAAATAACCAACCACAGGGCAGTAATACCTTGCTGCTGCTGTTTGCTAGATGAATATGTCTGAACGTGAAGTCTTGTAAAAGGAAAACACGGATTGAAATTCTGAGTAGGTTTACAATAATTGTGTGTAGCACAGGTTATTGGGAATTTGCGGCATCTGAGAAATACATGATTGTTCATCCTATTTTTTCTTCCATCCTGGTCTGAAATGCCATATAAGGATGTGTGGCAGTCACAGGTCCTGTTCATGGACCTTTTAACTTTCATTGGGTTTTCTGTTTGTTTTGGGAGCCAAGGTCATACTGACTTTCTATAAACATAGCATTAAATTTTATATAATGCAACTTAAAAGATAGTAGTACTCTAATATGAATGTGTTACAATAAATTTGGAATTTGCAGGGCTGACATTGCAGTATCTGATGCTTTTTCATACACATACAGTGGTTTAGCAGGTTTGAATGATAAACTTTTAATGTATTTTTAAATATATGTGAGTGTGTGTATACATATATATATATAAAACTGTATTTAAAATTAATAGGATGAGGATCAAAATCTACAAAAAAAAAGCATATACTTGGCTCTCCAAACAAATAGTTTTTCAAGTGTTGCAGCATATTCTCAGCTTTTCCTGTAGTTAGTAACTTTCTTTTGTGGCTGTTGACAGCAGATAACAGACATTTTCTGCAAGTTGTACTTTCAAACTCTTTAAAGCATCATTTCGCAAGGCAACACAGTGTCATTGCTTGAAGGAAAGAGAAGAGAATGGGTGGATGTTCCTGAGCAGTGTTCAAGGTGATAGCGCCTCTGGGCGTGGGTGCAGCGAAGACTGTCTTCTCCTGCTTGGCATAGCCAGATGAGTCTGTTCTTGTTAGTGCCTCTCGTTTCCTCAGTCTTTCTTTCAGCATGAAGTGTTCCCATACCACCACTGGTAAGACAGTATTCTCTATATGGCCTTGGGTACATTAGGTCTTATATTTCCAAAACGATGCTTAAGAAATCATGTCTCTGTTACCCTTGTCTTGTGGCCCAGCCTACTAAGGGGCTTCTCTCTGAGTCTGTATTGTTTCATATTAACTGTCAGTTATCTTCTCAGAAATAATTTGGTCTCCTATATCCACCCATCTTCTACAAAATTGTCCTTTGTACTTGGGGCTACTCTTTTTTTGTTTGCTTTGTTTTCTCTTGTTGAACTTGAGAGTGACTTTTTGACTCTTGTCAAAAAAAAAGAAAAAAGTCTCACCCAGATACCACCACCTTTTTGCTTCCCTAAAAGAGAATACCCTAAAATTACCTTGCCACATGTCTGATGACTCAGTAAATAAACTGAAGTAAATTATTTGTTTGCTAGGAGATTGAGTGGCGTTCGCAAAACTTTCGCTTCCAATCACAGTGAAATTCCACAGTATTTTGTAAGATTTTGTTCTTCCCATAACTCATGAAACTTGTCTTGAGGTTGGTAAAAGTGTCTATTTTACAGACTAAAATGTAACAAATGCTTTATTCCTAGTGGAATTGTGATTGTGTGTAACAAAAGATGGAATTACAGTAAGAAGGTATATATTATTTTTTTCTCCTCAGTTTAAAAACTTGTATTTTTGTACTACCAATTTAAATGTTTGGCTTTGTTAGAGAGTTCAGAATACAGTTTAAGAGGCAAAAAATTGAGTGGTGACTAAATGTGCTGGACACATCAAATAAAAAAATCATTTTTCTGAATACACTAGCTCATATTGTTTATGCTCATTTCTTTATCTAGTGTTTCTTTCATATTGGCAGATTAGGTATTTCTTATACTGAGATTCAAAGTGCAGATAGAGAGCCAGATATAGCTTGGAAACAAGGCAATATTTTGCTCAATTTTAATGTAATCATGCCAGACCATGCCCAGATTGAAACAGGCTTGTCTTGGAGTGCACGTGGGGTGGGGGAGGTTGATGAGCACAGCACAGCCCAGCAGTCTTCACATATATTTTGAAAACATCCCTGCTATGCAGACCTGTGCAGTGAGGTAGAGTTGACCTTTTGCCTAATCCTAAAACACAGTGAGGAGGCACATTGCCAGTGTTGAGAGCGTTGTGTGGCTGGGCTGAGGGGAGTGCTGGAGCTCCGGCCAGCTGGGAGATCTGGTTCAACCCCTTGATAGGGCTTGAGATAAGACACTTCAAGGTTCTTGCTCTTGGAGATAAATTGGTTGTCAGCCAGTTTCTCCTTTTTATTTTTTTTCTGCTAAATTTTTTGTTTCAATGTGCTGGAGAAGAATGTGAATAATCCCTGGATTGCTCACTTCTAACTTGCTCAGAAGTGAGAGAATGAGTTACGAAGATAACTTCCTTTTCTGCCCTCCTCTTTTGTTTTACTCACTTGATTTGAAAGGAGTTAAATGACTATGAGGATTGGAGAGAGCTGTAGGTGATGGTCAGGGGATACAAATCAGAATTTAGAGATTTAGAAAGAAGAGTGAAGCAGGGATAGATCCACCTTATTCTCAGATAAGAAGTGATATCAAAAGCAGGATTCAGGAGTTGAAATAGAGACATTTTGGAGGAAAAAAAACAGGGCTGGAGCTATGGAAAAGCGGAAAATCAGAAGACAAAGAGGATGAAATAATATGAATTAATTTTAAATTTAAAAAAGATGAACATGCTAGAGAAAACACATGAGGAAAAAACAAAGCAAATTCAAAAATAAAAGAAAGATCGTAATATGTGGAGTCTCCTTCTCTGGAGACATTCAAAACCTGCCTGGACGCGTTCCTGTGTGACCTACTGTAGGTGATCCTGCTCTGGCAGGGGGGCTGGTCTAGATGATCTTTCAAAGTCCCTTCCAACCCCTCACATTCTGTGATTCTGTGTAATATGGCGAAAAGCCTTTTGTTATTACAGCAAAGATCTGACTTAGGAAATAAGGTAATTAAATACCTGAAAAATATATGTGTGTATTATGTTAATGGAATCAAATATAAATTCTATGATTATGTTGAGGTAATTAAGTATTTTCTGATGAAGTAGAATTATCTCAGACCTGAGTTGATCTGCACTGTCAAAAACTGGTGTCTGTGAGTCCAGTAAGGTGAGTTTTTTGTGTGTTTTGGGTTGTTTTTTGAATGTTCCAAGAAATAAATAGTTAGATCCTTTCTCTTTCTGAATATGATGAGCAACTAAACCTTGCAAAGCCAAGTAATTGGAGTTGCTTGAAGAGTGAAACCATTATTTTTCTTATTTCTGTTTACCACCTCTTTCCATTTGTTTTTCATAACTCTGAATGCCCACCTTGTATGTGCTAGTAGTATGTAAAGTATGCATTTGTATTCCATTTCTGAAGTCAAAGCTTTCTGTCTTTGAACTTTTCATTAACATGGCACAACAGGTTTTTACATAGCACCAAGGAAATCTTTTATGCTACAGCATTTTAAACTTACAAGTTAGCTTTTGTTCTTGGTATGTCTTACATGCCCTTTAGCTGATGTTTTGCTATACAGGATGTTGTAAATCACTTCTCATAATTTGTGTCAGCCTTAGTGAGAAATCTTGCTCGGATGCATGTTGGGACAGTTAATATCTGAGTAATTCTGCATTCTGAAAAAAATAATCAGGTAGCTTGTGCCCTGATAGCTCATTTTGTCTTTCACAAAACTGGGTAAGGGAAGAAAGAGCTGATCTTGGAAAGGAAGCATTACATTTTTTTTATACTTCTCAGGAGAGCTGAGGGACGCTTACCAACTTACTTAAATTTGGTTTTTTAGGAGTCAGTTGCCTAGACATGGAGCTCATGATCTTTCTGTGGTGTCAGGAGATAAAGAGCATACTTCCAAAAATGATGAATGCACAAGAAAAGTGTCTTCTGACTCAGAATGGAGTTTCTCTAGGAAGTTACACAAGAGCAGGAGATAGCAATTGTAGGGGGGGTTGTTGCTTGTCCTCTGTATATTGTGATGCGTCATCTCTTTGCAAATCTGGTAGAGATAACCATTTTAGTAGCCCTTTGTTTCTTCAGGTAAAATCTGTTTTGTCACTATCTTGTAAGTTCTTCTTTATTTTATTTTAATCTCATTTTATTTAGTGGACTTTCCTCTCCTGAATCTATTGTAATAAATTTAGGTCTTCATAGATAATTAAATCTTCTGGTAACTGGAGGACTGGAAACAATGCCTGTGCTCATAAACTCTTCTTACCCACTTTTAGGTAACACCTAAGGGGATATTTTCTTTTTCTCCATTTGTTTTACTCCGACTTGGAATATCAGAGGCTCTCAGGGATATAAGAAATAATTCAATAAATGTGTGAAATGCTATAGAACTTTTTTTCTGTATAAAATACAGTGCATGTGGGATATGCGTACTGCAGTGCAACATGAGGAATATATTGGCTTTACTTAGAAAAACTTGCTAGTGGCATTGCCTATTCCAAATTGTAGACTGTCCAAGGCATGACAAGAACAGCCTTACGTGGATCTACCAGTGTATGTTCTATACTTTGCAAAAAGTGAGTGCATGTAGTGATATCTACTCCGGCATTGGGGAGAGTTTCTATGCTCTCTTGTGGATTGCATGCAGGGGACTAGAAGTCTTTCTTGCTGAGGGAAACTGTTCAGAGAAGCTTTCTTAACTGCAGTTGCCGAGAGCTAAACTCTGAACAGTACACAGTTTCTGACTTGTCTCTCTCTGGAAGCACAAGACAGAGAGGAAATCCTCTGCAAGAGGAGGATTTACAGGTAGGTAATTTGCTTTTAAAGTGCTGCAACTTAAGGATGAAGTAAGGCATGTGATCCCATTGGTTAAATTCTGCATACAAATTTTGGTGTAAATATGTGTGTTCTTCATAGGAGAGAAGCGTGTCTATCTATCACTGCCCAGACCAGGGGTAAGTTGCTTTTCGTATTGTTGTATTTGCTTTATATCTGCTATTAACTAATTGTAATAGCAATTTTCCTGTCACACCTTGAGATGAAGACTTAGCAATATATTGGTAACATGCATCCTGACTGGATGTCTGACAGTAAAATATTAAACTTGGTTGATTTATTAAATGAATAACAAACATATTGAATATAAAGGCAACTAGTTAAATAATATGCTTCAATCACTTTGTGTGTGAGGTTTAAGTCATTCATTAGTATGGCAATTTTTATCACATACTCAACTGTCACAGTGTTACTATTAAAATTGTAAGAATACACTACGTCATACTGAAAATAAGTCTTGATAATCTGATTTTTTTTTAAAAAAATGTCATTACTTGAGTTGACCTACTCAGGACAAATCGACATGTTCAAGCCTGTTGCAAGCTCTTCAGATAAGGAGTTCTTGTTTCCCTCTTTTGATCTTAAATGTTTTTAATGCAGAGAAGAAAGCTGCATCTAATGTCCTAGTTTAGTTGTGAGATAATTAATATCCTTAGCTGATTATAATTGATATTACATTGTTTCGGAGAGCATCTGTGCATTAGGAAACATCCTAAACTGTGTTAGTATCATTTAATCAGCCATTTGATTCACTTGCTACATTCCGAATCTTTTCTTGGGTAGGAAAAATTAGAAGAATGGTCTCAGAAGGTGCAGTAAGCATGCTCTAGCTTGTTTCTTTCTCTCCTTGCTTTGTTTCCTTAACCTGTAGTGTTGAGGAATTGTGACGTGAAATGATCCCCTGTCTCCATGTGTCCTGTTGTACAATTCTGTGACTTCAAACACAGTGTGCTACTTCTGACCCTTAACAAAAAGAGAAAAGGTCATACATTATAAGTCTAATCTGCAGATTGAAACAGAATATAATGTTAAACTGGGTGAGCATGGGTGAAAGTTACGCAGCGTAAATCTTGAAGCTGGAAAATACATTGGTTCAGTGGCCTTTGATAAGATTTTTGTCCTTCACCATTTTGACTATGCTACCTAGCTTCTGGACTTAAGCAAAAATTTAAAGAAGAGATATTTGAAATCAGATTCCCACTTACTGATTCATCTGCATTTAAAAAATACTTTCAATAAAACCATAGTTCCTAAGATTTAAAGAATTTTGCTGTGTTGTTGTTTGAAAGGTTACTGCCTTCTTTTGGATTTTGCACGATGCATAGGTTTGAGGGAGCTATGATTAATATACAGTTTGGCAGTAGACAGGAAATGTAGATTACGTCTAGAAGATGACAGGTTCATCACAGAGTAATTTTCTTTGCCAAACTGATGCACTAATCCTTGGAACTGCCTCCCTTCCCAGTGCTGTCACTGGGTACTGCCTCTTCTCCCTACTGCTGTCACAGAGGTCTGCTGTGCCTGGCTAACGGCCACGCCGTCCCCACGCAGAAGCCACACTGTTCCTGTCCATCTAATTAGATTATATATTTTGTTAGATCTGTTTAATTAAGACTGTGCTGTTTACTGGTAATGAGTGGCATCCTAGACCGTGCCATAGCTGAGGACAGAACGCTAGTGATGATTCATGTGCATCCTTAATGCACAAGTATGTTTTTCCCTGTAGTCTTAAGTTTTAAAATCAGAATAACTGCTTATCTGATTTTTTTATCAATTCTCCTATTCAAATAGTGTGAGTGAACACTAAAATGCAGAAAACTACACATCTGATGAATGTTCTGAGGTTTTTTTTAGTTATTTGTGGATGGAAAACTTACCTGTGCTTGAATGTTGGTTTTCTTGAATAGCCTTCACTCAGCAGCTTAAATATTTGCCATACCTTGTAAGTCAAAGTTTGTGTTTACAGACAAATCTGGTCCAGGTGACCCCAGAAAACTTCTGTCTTGGTGCTTTCAAACCACGATAGGGTTTGTGTTCCTTTCTTCTTTAAAGACTGCCATAAACCTATAATTTATTGAATTGTATCTCAGGTGTTCAGTATGGTTGAACTTAAATGACAATTAGGAATATCAGTTCTTAGACTTCTGCTAAGTATTTTGGTACAAGATCAGCCTTTCTGATACATAAGGAGAATTAGTGTCTAATCCAGGTAGATTTAAGATGCAGAATATTTAAAGTCTTGGGATGAGGAAAGAGAAATAGCATGAAAGCCAAACTGAGCAGCAAATTGCAGTAGGTACTTCAATAGCAGTACTTTATTTTTGCTCAAATTCTTGAAGTGAGAGAGGGAGACCACACCCAATAGAAATAGACTGGCATTAGAAATAATGCTGGTCACAATGAATAGTGCTATTATTTCCCCCTGCAGGCATTACTTAAATTGCTCACTACTAGGGTAGCAGCTCTTGTTAGATTCTCAGGCAAGGATCTCAGTCCTGCACTTTTATCAACCAACCTTGCCCAGTGGCTCTCCAAGTTATGACGCTGACTTTGTACTTTCTGCTCCTCTGCACTCCAGTGCTGTTTCTGAATGTGGACTGCGGCTCCCATGTCTCTTCATTTTTGATGTCTTTGTGCAGTGACAGCACCAGCGCATGAAGTTAAAGCCAGGAGCTGCTGCTCTCTACGTGCAAACTGATTTGAAACAAATAATGCATTTCTGTGTGTCTGTGTGTCTGGTGAGCTCTGCCTCATCAGATAGCCCACTCACATTAGTACCACTAATTATTTTTAGTTGGAGATGATATCTGGCTTGCAGCCACACAGATAATTCGGATCGTTCAAGAAGGAAATCCAGATACTTCTAGTGACACAGAATAATGAGCAGCAGCATCCCACTGGCATTTACATGAGTTGTACCCTAAATCACTTTGCTACTAGCAGAATCAGCTTCCAACCCCTTTTATAGCAGTATCATCTCTGATGGAAAAAATCAGTGTGGTAGTGCTTAAGACTGTTTAGTCCTAAGTATTACTGAGAATTTAGAGGGTAAGGGAAAGAAATGGTACTGCGTGAGGATGTGGCATCGGAGAACTGCAAAGAGGTCTTTTCCTTGAAACTTCAGGCACAGACTCTGTCTGCATGGGCCGTTTCAGGGGGACTGCCAGAACAGAAACAAGTTCTCAGTTTTGTGCTGAGAAGTTTGTCCGGACCACCGGAACTTTCCTGCAAAGGCTGCCTCTTGAGTATAGAGCCACCTCTTACTATTTGTTGTAAAATGATTTCAAATTCCTTATTTTAAAAAATACTATTTTTTTTTGTTTGAAACAGAAGCATAATGCAAATCTGAAAGCATTAAAGCCAGTCAAACTAGATACTGAGGTAAGTTGCCAGCATTTTAGTAAAAAAGAATTTAATTGTTTTTTTTTTTCCTACCTCTTATCTGAAGAATGTATTTTCAAGTGCCATAAATACGGTTGCCATTTGCAGGAACAGGCAAAAATTGCAAAACTTGGATTAGAGTTGCATCTGCTCACATCTGATATGGATTCTGAGACAGAGAAGTGGGAAGATCAGGAGAATGAGATCGTGCAACATGGGCAAGGAATGTCAAGTATGGCCTACTCCATGTATTTATTTACCAGGTAATGGCACTGTATGCAGGATGTTTGGTGGGAAGAAGAGCATTAACAGTGTTTATAAGAAACAAGACAGTTTCATTTTCAGAGTATAATAATTGGGACACTGTCAGAAAGGAGCTTTAATTTCTATCCTTGTGCTTTATAAGTTCTCTTAAATTTCTAAGCTGTTTAATAATAAAATGAGGGTTGTTTGTTGTTTTTTTTTTAAAAGTGCTAAACATCTGTTTTGTGGCAGAACAGCTATTCAAATGCCTCTTGGGTCTGGAAAACATTTTAAGAAGGATGTTCATAAATACTTTCAATATTAAGGGAATTATAGCACAGGCATATACCTGTAGATTAGAATTACTGATCTTTGCTGTACTGAAAGGTGTTCTTCTGAAACTTGCCCATGCAATGGCATCTTTCTTATTTGAAGATTTTTTTTTTTTTTGGTAAGTGTTGATACCTTTTTTCTTACCTACTAGTCCGCTAATATTCAGTATGACAGAGACAGGGATTTCTGTCCTTGTTCAGATGATGGAGACTGAACCATTGCTCATTTCCTAGTAGTGCTCTGGCCATTAAGGTGTTTATATAATGTTTTGAAAGCAGTTTCTGTAGTAAGTTATGGTTGTGCATAGTATCTTCTAAGAGAGTGATATTCTACAGTTCAGTGGTGTAAATGGAGCTGAGAGAGACTATAAATTGTGCAAATAGCAGGCAAAATAATTTGCCGTCCTTAGATGTCATATATTCTGTTTTCATTGTTTCCCACAGAGGAGAAGGACTCCTGAAAACTACTCAAGATTTATTTCATCAAGCAGAGGTAATATATTTTTAACAAAATAGGGGTTAGGCAACCTGAGTAAAGAACAAATTGGGACTTAACTCGCAGATTCCTTACCCGTAAGGAGAGCATGCCATGAATTGACGGAGAGCTGTGGATTTTAAGCAGCCTAACTCTAGTGCATACTTTCTGAAAGCAAACTTTTCAGTAGTCCAATAGTAGCTTAAGGCATCATTCATGAAACTGGCAGATTCCAGTTAGGAGTAGGAGTAGCAAATGGGCATTATGGCAATTGTAGCAGATGTCAGTGCATTAGCAGTACTTAGCTCAGTCCCCAACAGATACTTCACCCTAGTCTGAGCAGTAATATTTCTGTGGGGAAGGAGATGTAAAAATTTGAATAATACCATCAAAAGACAAGCGACCAAATGTGGAATGTGGTGCAATATTTCCAAGATACATATCCATGTTTAACAAGAGACTGGTTACATTTGTCAGGACAATAAACAAACATGGCAGATATCATCAACCCACAAAGCGATTATGAACTGTTACAGTGCAAAAAGTAATTGGATGTCTTTTATATATATATATGTAAAGGGAAATCCTTCAAAATTTGCTTATCTGGGAAAAGGGCAATTTGTAGTGTAGTCTGGTATTTCAGAGATCACTGCAAACTGTTGACTTGTTAATTATAAATGTATACAACTATCACAGATATTTCCTTCTACCTTTTTGCTTTATAGCAAAACAAAGAAGGAATAAAGAGCCTCATCTTTTGTTGTGCTTCATTTTGTTATGTGCTTTCTCCCCCTTTCAGATTTTTGCTACAGAAGGCACAAAGCTTGCTTCAGCTCTTCAAGCCTTTTCTGACCAGGTGATGTATGACCTCTAAAGCAGCCATTCAGGTTACAAAACCAGTGAAAAGCTGGTTGTGCTGTCCTCTCCATTAACTTTTATATCAGGGTCTTTACCACAGAGTGGTTTTGTCTTTTCAGGTGCGTGAGGATGACAAACCTTTGCTTCTGCTGGAGGCTGAAAAACTGATTTCTATGTCCAAGCAGCTCCAGATAACAGCTAAAGCTTCAGTTCAGGGTAAAAGTGCTACATTTACAAAGGTAAAGTAAAATTGATATATGCTTCTGAAAGTAAGACATAATTTGTTTTGAAATATAGAAACTTACTAATTTATGGTCCTGTTAAAATATGAAACAGTTCGTGAGAGCTGGACTTCTTGGATTGACAGAGGACCATAAATACTAATAAGTACATAATTTTATGGTGTTACGTGAGCGTTTGTCAGCTATGCAGTGTGTCATTGTTGCTATTCCTTACACAGAAGAGGAATTTACTTCAACTTGAAGTACTTGTTGCACTTGGCATGTTTTGAGAAGCTTATGTGAGAAATATAGAGGAAGAGCAGTAAGAACTGTTCCCCTTGCTGAAAATGGTTTGTCTGTTGGGACATCCCTCACTGATAACTGTAATCCAAGCCATTTGCTGCACTGTCTTGTATCAGGAGGAGATTTTCTTCAGTGTGGATGCTACCGTTTTCTAGCTTTTTGGAAAAAATTTTAGGTTTTCTCCCCTCTCCCGCTACCAGTCAAGGACTTCAGTGAGGTTTATCCTGACCTGAGCCCCTCATTCACACTGAGGGTTTGATAGGAGGCAAAATATGGTGCAGTGGCAACCAGCATATGTGGAAGCCTGCCAGGGGATAGCCTGGATACTATTATTCTACAGGTTTATATGAATGTTTTCTTTAGGAAACATGGATAGCCAAGTTTTGTATAACTGACCTAGTGGCCACAGGCAAATCACTGATAGTTACGTTTTAAGGAACAGTTTCCCTGCCCCCCTGGCCTATCAACTTTAGAGTCCAAGAATCAGTAAAATAAGTAATAGGATTTTTTTTTTTTACTGTAACTAGAAGTACTGGAATTATCATTTGGGTTTGGGATTTCACAGTTAAAGAGTTTATGGAATTGTTTCAAACCAGGACAATGGTGTTCCTGGGGTGCTCTTAAAAAAAAAAAGTGGAAGGATATCCATAGGCTTCAACTACTTTATATTGCTTTTTACTGCTGAGAACCTTTTTCAAGGTTCTGTCAACATCTCCCTCAGCTTACTTACTAGATAAAGAGAGGAATTCTATCATGCTCCAACTGAGAATTTTCAGCTGAGTAATATGAGATGGAGCAATACTATATATAATAATACTGTAATCCACTAGAAATTAATTCTGAGAAGAACTGTAATTAGGCATACCTACCTAAGAAAGGACTTCAGTGATCAAAGTATTAATGAATGTTATTTGTATTTCCACTGCCGTAATAATTACTGGTTTTCTGTTGTTACTGATGCTTAACAGAAACACACCAAGTTCCAACCCCCAAAGATTCTGTTACTGAAATTCATGCTTGATTCTCAGTAGGTAGAGAGTGTACTCTAGACTGCCCAAGTTTGTTCTGGTATTATTCATATTTGTTACAAGTAAATATGTATACAGCTGCCATACAAGTTTCAGCATTTTTACCAGGAGAAGTAGATCCGCAAAACTTAGTGGGGACTGGAGGCCAGGCTTTTTGAAGACCTGAAGTATCCCCGAGTAGTGATATGCTCAACGTGAGCAAGACCATTTCTGGGCACCTGGGTGTTTGTTTCCAAGGGGCTACAGAAAAGCAGGGCCAGAGACTGGCTACAGCACCCGAGCCACTCGAAACTAAACTGAGCACCTGGGGGCTACCACAGCACCTTGGGGCTACCACATGATTTGTTTTACAGTCTCTAGCTAAGCTAAACTAAATGGGAACTCCAGTCTGTTTATGCAGAGTGCTGTACCACTGCATAGTGATTAGAGGCCATCAAATTAGTGTTTGTTGAGGGCCTAGACTTGTGACCTGTGCTGAGTATTAGACTTGAGAAAAGAAGTCAAGCACTTTAAGATTCAGCTGACTTTTAGTGTAACTCATACCAGGTAAGGGTTTATGTGATCGATGCATGGCTGTCTGCATCCTGTCTGCGTGATCTTAAACAAAAGGAAAAATATGAAGAATTACAATGAATCACACTTAGATGGCAAGAGCTCCTTCTCAAGACACTTACATTACTGTTTAATATTATATTATTTATTTTTTTTCTCTTCTCCTGGGATGTGTGTCATTCTCTTCTGCTCCCTAGCTCTAGTCTTGGGTTAGCAGAACACAATGTTATTGCTTTGTATGTACCACATATATATAAATTCAAAAAAGGTAGGCAAAACTTTCATTAGAAGGGATTTATGAAGGACAAATATTACCTATTCAAGTTCGAAATAGATTATCATCTGCATTGAACAGTTGCCTAATAAAAAGTAATGAGTGCTCTTACTTTATCAACTCTTAACTGTTGTGTTTAGGTTGATGCATGCATTCTGAAAACAAGGAATGTGATGACTCTGTTATGCCAGCTTCTTCCACTTTGCTACAACTTACTGAGGAAGGTATGTGGTTCATCTGCAGTATTTTAAAGGTTTTTTGGGGGGTGTTTGTTTGTGTTTTTTTTTGTTTGTTTTTAAGAAAACTTTGTTTTCTATATGCAGAATAAAGCAGGAAATGGTTGTCTTAAGCCTGCTCCACCGTGGAGAGAAGACAGAATACGACCTGGTACAAATGCACATACTCCAGAAAGGAGAGCTGAGACATTTGGCATCAAGTCTTTAGAAAATCATGTAACAAACATGACGTTTTTAGAAAGCAAGTAATTATAGCACTTAGAAATGCAGGAACTCCCATTTGAAAATAACACTTGCTGAATTTTCAATATTGCTTTCATTTGTGGAAAGTCAAACCAGGTTAATTTGAATTAAAACTGTTGACCTTTGTCACATCTAATAGATGTCCCGTTACTTAGCAATTGCAACACCGACTAGTCTAATTGTTACGTATTTTTATAATGTGAATGCCTTTCCTATGCTTGCTATTGATACTGGTTTTGTAATTAATGCCTATGAATGTCTTAATGGATGTTTCAACCCAAAGATGCTGCTAATAGACATTTTATATAAAGAACCTTGTGCTACATATGCTCTATGTAACACTACTGTTGAGGTCTGTAAACTCATCTCTGGCCTGTTTCAGTCTGTGCCTTTGATAAAGCAGAATTGGGACTAGAGTCTGAAAGGCTGTGGCCAGAAGCACTGAAATATTATCGTAGCTATGTGTTATACCTGCATTGAAGTAGTTCTAGGAAAAAACCCACCCTCTTTCAGTAGCCGCAACTCTGAATTTTAATCTTGTCAACATGATTCATATTTGCAAGAGTGCATTTTTAAGTGATTAACACTCTTGACCCAAACCCTTCTTTATTTTACCATCTTTATTTCTAGATGGCAGTTGTTGCTTCCTTATTAAAACTTCCTGAGCAGAATTTGACTTGCATGTAGAACCACTGAAGTATTATGCAGACTTTACATTATACCATTTAAAATTTAATAAAATAGATACTGATTATGACAAAGGTCCATGCAAAGGGCATTACTTGACTTCAGTATGCCATGAAAATACAACCTGGTGTGAAATGCGTATTTTATCTGCTCTCTGTATGTAGGCTTCTGGTGCCTTTTTATTTTCAGTTCACCTTTCTCAAACTCCATGTTGCGCTAGTTTAGCTAAATTAAGTGATAGCTAAATCATATGATTTTACTTTAGTTATTACGCTTGCACTGAGCAGAATCAGAGCTGCCTGTGGAACACAAATACTCTCCAGTATATCATTCTGGGCTTATTTAAAAACTTGTAGTGCCAGAATCCAGGGGAGAAAAAAAGGCAGATTTTAATATACAAATGATCTGAACTGATTTATTCTTGCATGAATCAGGTGTTTAAAGTTCCACTTCTCAAAACAGGCACTAGGTCTTTCAATACCATAGAAGTTACAGTGTACAATAAAAGCAGCTTATTTAGTATCAAATACAGATGATAACTGTGTAATTAATTTCAAGAAGAAGAATTAAGACGTTTCAACAAAACTTCGTCATATTCCTTCTGTGTCAGAAGTCCTCGAGTTATACTCTTGCTTTCTTCAAATTTGGGTAGAACCACTGCGATGTATCCCTCGGTTGACGGCTGAAAAGCAAGACTGAAGTTAGCAGTGAAATAAAAATTAGAAAATAAAAAGCAAGAAAGTGTCCTACCTTTTCTTGGAGGAGAGCGGGATTGCTAAGAATGTTTTCATTCACTTCTATCAGTCGCCCTCGTATACAACTGCAAAAGTGTTCAGATTCAGTAGAAGCGCCCACAGTGTGTCGAGGTGAGACGATGGGAAAAAACTTACCTATATATTGTGTATTCCTCTCCATCTGATGAAGATATTCTGCATAGAGGGGCAAGTTCAGTTAAAAACTGAGCTCCCTGCATTTGAAAAATATACTTTTAATTACACGGGGCTTTTTCAAGTATTAATATCAGCAACATAACATTGTTGAGAATAAAGCAAGGAAGCGTGTGACCCTACAGAAGAGGCCTACTTAGTTATGTGCAGAAATTGAACGGAAGCTTGCTAAGAGCTTAAAAATTTAGCCATAATTAAGTTTCTTGAGGATTGACAGACTTGTAGTTTGATGAGATTAAAATCAGGGGAGAGAGGGGAAAACCAGCACCACTGATTTCAGTATAACCAGGTTTAAACCACATAGATTTGAAAACCCACCACGAAACACCCTCATCTGCTATCTAGGTCTGTTTGAGAAAAATGATAGTCCCTGAATCCTCAGCATTTTGGTGAAAACAGATTTTTATCTTTTCCAGAGATCATTTAAGTCCCTCTATACAGTACTAAAAAGACCAACCCAAAATGTTTAAAGTGACTGTTAGCCTTGGTTTGAGCAACACTGGACACTGCTGGTGCTGCACGAGCACAGCAAGACTCTGGCTAGGACAGGTACCTCTTGAGACAGCCAATTCTCCAACTGTGGAGAGGCTGTTTTAAAATAAAATGCAAAGGTAACTCAGTAAGTTTCTATCCTAGAAAGGACAGAAAGTCTTAGGCAGTGTGACACATTAAAACGAAAACTAACCAAATCAAAAAGCCATACCCTTTTTGACTTCCCTGAGACCTTATTCTGGAGTCTGCTGCAGTTGGCACTGATTTGGTAGTTAATGCTTGTAATTGTTTTTCCACTCTGAAGAAGAGGATGAGCTTCTGCCAAGGTGATGACACAGATTCTGCAAAAAAGAAATACAGTTATTATGCTGGTAGTTGTGAGAAGCCATGCTCATGTGCTTTAAGCAGGCTCCACAACCACCTCTGCCTAGACTGGTAGGATTTAAAACTGATGCTGATGACATCATTTGGGTTCCTAGGCTAGGGCTGTAGCAAGACTTTGAGCGTTGTGAAACCTGTTGTTTATTTTCCCTCTTTAAAGCACAATATTCTTCCCCCCACAGTTTAGCGGGAACGTTAAACTGATAGCTCAGCTTCCTGCAGCGGGAGCCACAGGTGCTCAGGGAGGCCGCAAGGGCAGGCAGGCCTGGGTGACAGCGTGGGGGTGGAGTGAGGTAACCTAGAACACAATTTACCTGAGCTAATGAGCTAGAACAGAGAGTAAGTGTTGGCTGTAGGTGAAAGACAACCTCTAGCTTCCCACTTGCAAAACTGTCAGATACAGGATCAAATTGGACTCACCTGATCTAGTTACAGATGCTCATAGCAGGGGGGTGGGACTAGATGACCTTTAAAGGTCTCTCCCAACCCAGCGCAGTCTAGGATTCTGTGATGACGTCTGCTGTACCAAACCAAATGAAAATTGCAGTCTGACCTAAAACAACCTCCCACAGAAAGCGCTTTATGTCGATACTAGCCTGGATCAGCAAAAGCAGCACCCTTCTTCTAGCTGTTAAATCAGCTAGAGCTGTTCTATCTGTTGTTGTACCCCACCGGAACATAGTCGGTTCACTTGTCTGCTGATCGTTGAAGCAGATACTAGCCTAAGATGATCAAGTAAAGCACAACGTGCTTTCGTCAGAAAACATAACACAAGGCCCCGTGTCTCAGAATGGCTGAATCCTTTGGGGACATGGGCTTCAGTTAACCTGCTGCTGCATTTTATCTTTTTCTAAACGAGGATTATTTCTTGTAATGAAACTCGAGAGTTTGAGACAAGGCCTAGGCTTGAACCATGCTAATTGTGCAAGCACGTTAAAAAAACCCCTCACAGCATAAAACCGGATCTTTCCCCACAGATGCTGCATCACTCCCTGCATGGTCCCATCCCCGCGAGATCTTGCGGGGCAGCTCGCCACAAGAGGGAGCTGGAATCCTGGTAAATGCATTCAGCATGCCCCAGCAGCAAAAATGGGCCAGAAAAGCTACCTCATCTTGACCCCAGCCTCAGATTGCTAAGGGGGAGATGACAAGCCATCTGAGCTGTTACTTTTTAGAGTTGTGACCCAGCAAAATAAAAAATCGACCGAATTTTACACTGCTTAGAAATATCAAACTGAGCCACAGCCCCACAAATAATAATGGTAAAATATTTTACAGAACATTTGGCTAAGCTTCTATAGAAGCCAAGGGCCCTGATGTTTCAGAATTCAAAATATCAAAATAACCTTTATGGACATTTGAACAAGTGTTTGCACTTTTATTCACCCCCACATCAACAGGATTTAAACTGTTGCCTTTACAAAAAAACCAAGACTAATAACTACATATTATTTAGTGCAAATATCAAAGTGTCCTTTCTTGCTGTTGTGGTCACACCTGTTTTTGCCAGGTACTTGGATTACTGTGTTCAAAGAACGAGAAAGTTAACTCTGTGGAACAGCCACGGAGAAGCCCCTGGTGCCAGAGGCTGCAGCGAGGCCACGGTTCTGCCCTGCACCATGCACCCCCCTCCTGTTACTCCAAATTCTCACAGGAGGCAACTCACCAGCAACAACAAATGTTTTCTCGTTTTCCCTTGACACGTGAGTGACTGGCCCTGCCAATTCTTGTGCAGACAGTACTTCAGTAAGTCCTGGTCTTTTCTCAGGGACTAAACACCCCAGAAACGCTCACGATGCCACCAATTCACCCGCAGTCAGACCAGGCATTAGAATCATAGAACAATTCAGGTTGGAA